ATTTAACAAAGATAATCAAAGTTTTGATTGATGTATATGAAATGCAGGTCATTTTTGTTCCTGCAGGTTATGGAAAAGAAGGTAGAAACAAATTCTTCATCTGGTTACCAAGTTGGCATGTGATCAAAGTCTGCCTCGATCAAATTTCTTTTGAATTTCCGTGATGAAAATAGCCGTCTTCTACATGAAAACATTGTTTTTTAAATTTTAACATGGTTTAAAATTTCAGCAATATTCTTTGAGCATTTTCCAGTTTCACTATATAAAACCAAACTCAATGCCAATGTATTGAAGTTGTAGAACTGTATGGAAAAGACCCCAGGCAAGCAACATTTGAGAGTTACTTGCCCAAAGGGCAAGCTTGAGTGCAAATTTTTTCAAGCCCTGCCAAGGTATTATTGAAGCTTATGTTTTTGAGAAGTTACCTTTAGGTTTAAACGCTCTAGTTAACGGTTTTCATGTGTACAGAATTTTCTAATAGTTCGCAATACATTCTTTTACATGTCTTAAAGTAGAAAATGATGGTTCACGGTGTAGGTCATTTCCTGCATCAATCTGACAGTCTAATTAATAGAATAATTGTCAATTTTCTGCACACTCATTGGGTAATTTTTATTGGATTTATAGTCAATAAAAGTACTGGAACATACATGTAGATGACACCATCACACGCAGATCTTGAGTATTTTTTCGAACCCATGAGTTCGATTCCTGTAGGTGACTCAGATTTTTTCTTTGTCCCACGCTTGTCTCTTGTTGATCAGTTCACTTTTCACATTTCATTACCGATCTTAAAATTCACCAGTTTTATTCACTGATCACTCTCACGATGACTTCGACAGTGCTGATTCTAGCAGTGTGCTTGACGCCTGTCACATATAAACTCAGTTAAATGACTTGCTTTCCATGAGTTCGCACAGCTCAGTGGGTAGAGTACCTGCCCTGTGTTTGGGAGCTCATGGGTTCAATTCCTGTCGGGAACTCCGATTTTTTCTTTGTACTACGCTGGTGTCATGTTGATCAGTTCACTTTTCACATGAACAAAGGTTAGTTATAGAAATTGCATTTCTGCATTTTAGTTTTGAGTTGTTGTATCATTTCAAGTTTATGAAGTCATGACTTCTGAAATCATTTTGGCTAAAAGAAATTTAAGTTCTTTCACATTTTTCAGAAGTCTATGCTTGAATGCTTTAGCTTTCTGTTATTGTACAAAACAAACTGATAGCAGTTTTTTATGCATGCATCTGATGACAAATTGTGTCATAACATTGTCAAAGTAGCTGTAGATCCATGAACTAATTGGATCCATAGACTTCTTTGACAATGTCATGATGCAGTATACCATCAACAAGAGAACAGATGCGTTAAAAGCTGCGGTCTGACAATAATTTGTTCAAAAGGGTATGATGTAATAATTGTGCATGTATAGTTGAGAACCACACAATTCTTTTGTAGTGGGGATTCAGTGCTATGGTCTGTGAATTTCATATGTTGTGCTATTGTTGCTTTATTGCTGATGCATCAGTAGTCAGTGCTTGCACATAAATTATGTTGTCATATTCTGTGCACAGTATAGCTCAGTATGCATGTACACTGGAAAAACATGCAGGAATCAAAAATAAAATATGTGATTTTCATCTTGGAATGTAGTTAGCAGATGCATGGTGCAGGTTTTATCTTACATGTAGAACAAGAGATCTTTTTTCTTAGTAAAACAAAGTCCTTACTCTAACTTGTATTTTTCAATGGTTAGTCAATGTGGATATACCCGCCTGCTGACTCTTTACTTTTAGCACAAGGTAATGTTACCTAGTAGCAGGTTTGGCAAAGATATGATTGACTACATGTTTACTGGGGAGCAGGGTCGGTGCAGTGGTGAGAGTGGTCACCTCCCAACAATGTGGCCCGGGTTAGATTGTGGCCTGGTGCCTCATTTGGGTTAAGTCTGTTGTTGGTTCTCGCCTTGCTCCGAGGGTTTCTCTCTGAATTCTCCTGTTTTCCACCCTCCATAGAAACGAGCACTTCAAAGGATAGAGGAGCCGCATGAAAACCAGCTAAGGCTGATGTAGCTTCCTCTCTAAATCATCATCATCATCATTACTTCAGGGATATTGACTGGATATTTTATTTTATGTCATACATATATACACACACACACACGCATGCACACACATACATACATAATTTTCATACATTATTTGCAACTCCCCAAGGGGCTTTTCAGTCACAAATGGAATAAAATAGATGAAGATACAACAATTAAATAAAATGATGAATGATCAAAATAGGAAAAGAATCTAAAATCAATCACATTGTCAAAAAAGTTTAAAATTTAGAATTAAGAATTTACATTAGTAAAATTCAAAATATGTTCAGTTATGCATCTTTTAAAAGCTTTCACGGAAGTTAAACTTTTCAAATCGTCACTCAACTCATTCGAGATTTTGCTCCGCGATATGCAAAGGACCTTTGTCCGGTAGCCAGTAGGCATCGTGGAATGTTTAAGTCATTACTCTCTAATGTTTCTAATGTAGTGATTTGAGATTGAAAAATGAATGTATCAATTAAGTAATCAGGAACAAGATTATGAATACATTTGAAAGTCATCACCGCATCATTTGTGTAAAGTCCAGCACTGACCCGCAGCCAATTTAAAGATTTGATTCCCTGTGAGATATGGTCGTACTTCCGGAATCCCAGTACAATTCGTGCAGCAAAATTCTGCAGCATGTCATACTGTATACTCTGTAATGTGTAAGTCTTCTTCATCAATCCACTTTGATGATGTCCATTATGCTGTAATTATAATTAAGGATTAGATACAGTAGGTCAGAAAATGTTTCCTGTGCCATAGTTAAGTGAAATGTAAATGTCACGGTAATTAACACCTTCAGTTTCACTTCTCTGCTGGGGTCTTGAGGTGGATTATTAGTCTGTTTTATTTTATTCCTTTAGGAAAGTCAAGGGCATGGAACAAGTGATGGAACATTCAGGAAGAAGCGTTACTTTACCTGTCGACCAGACTCTGGTGTCTTTGTTGGACTTGATAAATTAACACCTTGAGATGATCCTGACTCTAAATCTCCAAAAAGGGATAAAAAAGCTCAAGCTAACTTGAAATCAAGTGTAATGGATTCAGTTATGCAATCCTTTCCTAACAGAAAAAGTGAAAGAAAGTCTCCTCAGGAAAGAATTAACCAAGTACTTGGAATTGCGCAAAGAGTTGTGACATTCATAGAGGATCAACCATTCAGAGGAACTGTACGTTATATTGGCAAAGAGAAAGATGCGAGTGGAAATATGCATACATTTGTGGGACTGAAAATGGTGGGTAATCCACATAAATTAGAATTTATGTACCATAAATATGTAAATTGCACATTTCCTACTTTTTAGTTGCATCTCATGACTTATTTTTGTTATTTATTCTTTCATAAAGTTAACCCACATGATGATTTTGTCATTATTTACCTGAAATCATATTTTCAACCCTATGATATGACTACAAATGGGTGAGAGGAGGAGTTGAGATACTTTTAGAAAATGACGCTTTTCGATATTTAAGCATTTATTCTATTTTATTTGCATCTAGTGTTAATTCTCTAATACCCCCGGGCCCCCAATTCAATGTTGTGTAGGCGCTTTGGTCTGTGTGGTCTAAGAAATAGAAAAATCAACGTTGTTTGGGCATGAAGGGGGACAAATGTTTCCAAGACATTTCCAAGAATATCGAATTTTACTGCCAAGTGTCTGAACATTTTTGTCGTCCATGGTAGCTCCATTTTTGAGTGGGCAAGATAAACCAAATCCTGCACTGTGATTGACTTCCCAAGTAGATAAGCTGGCACCATCTTGCCCGCTCAGGATTACATGCTGTGTCCTGCCGGCAAAATTTCCCTTAAAGCCCTATAAATCATTTATCAACAAAGCTTGTTTAGTCAAGATGGCTGTTTATTGGCCAAGTTCTTTCTCTGTGTGTTTATGCTTGGTCCCGTGCTATGTCAATAACCCATATACATGTATATTGTAATCACACAACTGTGCATGAATGGCAGGTGTAGGTAAGTAAACTTGCGAAGGTACATGATAATCAAGTCATGGTGGGCAAATCATGCTTTTCAAGAACCCTTGTACCATTCACATAATCTGCAAACGTTTTGTGCCTTGCAGTAAGTGATACTGACTGTACTTTTTCCACTTTATGTAGGATGAAAGAGTTGGAAGTGGAAATGGCCGACTGAATGGACGACAGCTCTTTGTTTGTAAGACAGATTTTGCAATGTTTGTTGATATAGAAAATGTTACACCAGAGGACGACTTTGATGAGAACCATAAAGAGACTTCATG